TGGGGGGTCAGGGCATGAGGGGTCAACGCATGAAAGGCCGAAGCCCTGGAATGAGGGGTCAACGCATGAAGGGCCAATGCCCCTGCATGAGGGGGTCAACGCATGAGGGACCAGCCAAAGCCCCAGCATGGGTGGTCAGGGCAGGAGGGGTCAACGCATGAAAGGCCGAAGCCCTGGCATGAGGGGTCAACGCATGAAGGGCCAATGCCCCAGCATGAGGGGGTCAACGCATGAGGGGCCAGCCAAGGCCCCAGCATGGGGGGTCAGGGCATGAGGGGTCAACGCATGAAAGGCCGAAGCCCTTGCATGAGGGGTCAACGCATGAAGGGCCAATGACCCAGCATGAGGCGGTCAACGCATGAGAGGCCAGCCAAGGCCCCCAGCATGGGGTGTCAAGGCATGAGGGGTCAACGCATGACCGGAATGCCTGTGTCGTCCTGGTGGTGTAACTCCAGAGGGCTCGTGTGAGATGCTCTTCGGAGATCGACGGTCTCCTTACAGGCGCCCCGTGCGTCCTCATCCGACTGCCCAACAGGATGAAAAAAGGGGGAGGAGGAGGAGGAGGAGGAGGAGGAGGAGGAGGAAGAGGATGAGGAGGAGGAGGAGGAGAAGGAGGAGGAACAGGAGACGGAAGAGGATGATGATGATGATGATGATGCTGATGATGATGATGATGGAGAGGAGGAGGAGGAGGAGGAGGAGGAGGAGATGCAAGAACAGCAGGTGGAGAAGGAGGAGGAGGGGGGAGGAGGAGGAGGAAGTAGTAGTAGGGGTAGGATTAGTAGGAGTTGGAGGAGGACGGGGAGGAGGAGGAGGACGAGGAGGAGGGTGACGAGGAAAATAATGGAGGAGGAATTCGATGGATGGATGGGGGAGGAGGGCGCGCGCTCTTGTCTCCGCGGCGAAGGCGCTTCTCATAGAGCAGCAGAGCCCTGTGCAGGGAGTCGTGGCTGGCCGGCGCCGCGGCCCGTGCCGCCTCGCGAAGGGGGTGGGGGGGAGCGCGGCGAGGCGCCCAGGAATGCGCGGGATGAGGGGGGGGGGGGAAAGCGGAAGGCGGCCGCGGCGGCGGCGCGCGGCGGCGGCGGCGCGGCGAGGAGGAGGAGGAGGAGGAGAGGGAGGAGGAGGAGGAGGAGGAGGAGGAGGAGGAGGAGGAGGAGGAGGAGGAGGAGGAGGAGGAGGAGGAGGAGGAGGAGGAGGAGGAGGAGGAGGAGGATATACTTCAACAGTTACCTGGCTGGCACAGATACCTCAACACATACAACAACGAGATGTTTGTCCACCAAGACGGCAACCAATGCCTACCGCACTCACCACTCCGACCTGACTCCAAAGCCACGCCACTATCGACCTTCACATTACCATTGAACACAAGCACAACAATTCTTAAGCTAAAAGAAGCCACTCAAGCAGACGCACACCAGCCAACGCACAAGCCGCACAAACACCCTACCTTCACAAGATACGGCAACGACCTTCTGGCTTTTGCGGCAAATTACCGTGACAACCTAAGACTAAGAGTACAAGTTGTTACGACCTACAGGCATCTCATCGCGCTGATCGCAGGAGGACAAGCACCGCTCGACAACGTCAATATCGCCGCCATACAAGAAATTGCCCAATGGCTCAACGCATGCCACGACGAGCACGACATCATGAAATACGACTGGGCAATACGCACACGCGACACATCCTACCAACTACAGCGCATTTGCAACCCGACCGAAACAAGGGGATACACCACCGACCAGCACGATGACTGCGACAGCTCCACCGACAGGGAGACCAACAACAACACCCAACCACAGACACAGCAAATTCCAATCAAACCATCACCACCATCATCACAACCCAGCATACCCAAACCAGTCGCACTCACGCTACCGCCCTCATGGGACGTACCCGACACCCCAACGAGCCCGACCAAACCAACCGACGCTGCACACAACAATGCAGCAGAGCTTCAACCCGCGCAGCCGCTCAACAAACCAAGTGGACTGACACCACCAATAATCGCAAAGCAGACACCATGCACTCCCACACACAACCACACCACAACAAAATATGATCCCCAGCAAACCTATGCCGAAGATACACGTCAGCAAAACGACCACGACCATCACGACAACGACTCACCAAAGACCCTACAAAACCCCACCAGCTCACCTGACCGAGCAAGATAAACAGACAACACAACAGCCACCGACCACACTTAAAACCAACAGCGCAACAACATTACCAAGGACGACCTCGCCCACATTCACCACTATGATCCAATGGCCACCATCACACTTTTTAATACCAGTGCACCCACCACCACCTGCACTAACAATACCTGTCATTTACCCACCAGACGAGGACATCAACGCCCAACAGTGGATACAACATATTCCCTGGCGACAGCTGGCGCTACAAACGCTGGCGACGCGGCACACCTACTTCCAGACGATCGCAGCACACGCAATCGCAACACACCACGAAGCAGCACGACGAGGAGAACTCCATGTCCACATTTTTAAACGACGGATCGTCTTCCCCAACAAGATTGGAGACCCTACGTTCCAGGACTGCATCGCCAAGCTTCGCACGTACCACACCCGCTGCGATAACTACCTCAACAGTTTAAACGAACACACGCTTGGAACGCCATTCAGGGAGCCGCCGCCCAAATACGTGGTAACGCTACACAAGGCTACTCCAAAGCCCAAGCCGACGATCACCAACACGGATCAGTCTACGTAAACGACATGACAACCCACCACAACCAAGGTTGGGCAGTGCTACAGTATGCCACGACATTCACGACCAGTACCTCCTCCCGTCCAACTACCGCGGATGGACCTCACCTGCCTCGGGAGATACAGACACGCCCAATCGCAAACAAATCGCCAAGGCTGACTACTGACCTGCAATACGCTTTTCCGCTTTCCCCTCGCGGCTCTTTCGACACGATGTCACATTATTCGACACGATTGGTGGCACTCTCTCACTCGCAGGAAAAGGGTTATCCTTCAAAACCCAAGGGTCGCAACCCTAGACTGGCATATTAACTGTATAGGCCAAGTGTACTACCGCATTTACCTTCGGCTAGACACCCAAGGCCGACTTTGATGGACGCCCAAGGCGCTCCATCCACTCGCTTCGAGCCTTCCACACAAATGTTAACAATAATACTACCTCATTGAGTAACGGCCAGCCTTTGCTACAGGCCAGCCGAACACAGCTATCTCGCACCAACGAATTGCCCCTACCCTTCTCACCCGCTGTTGCGCTTACCTCGTTGTGGCCACATCGGCTTAGTACCTAGTGGCACTCCCCCTCCTACAGTTGCAGACATGTCTGCAGAACTTTGGCAGTCAAGAGACGCCACCCTTACCCTAGTATCATTCCTTGCTCTGCGCACGCATCAGCGTGCACATCTACGCGTGGACACAGCCTGTACAGCATGTTCGTTTTTCGTTGTTTTTTTCCCCCTGGCTTCTGTTGTTACTTGATAAAGGCTGCTTCCACCTGTGCTGTAGGATTCACACAGTGTCACCACCATCCCATTTTCTTGTGAGGTTGCGGAGGAGTTGGTGGAGGAGGAGGGTGGAGGCGCTCTCTCCCTCTCTCTCTTGCAGTTTTGGGGTTCTCCTACAAATCTCTGGGTCGCAATCCTAAGATTTCATTTTTCATTCGAGGCCCCTGTCTCCTCACATTTCTGTTCTGTTGAACGCCGTCCTTCTGCCCTCGCGGATCATTCGACGCGATCGGTGGCTCTCTCTCACTTGCAGGTTCGGGGCTACCCTACAAAACCCTGGGTCGCAACCCTAGGGTTGCATATCACTTCTACTCCACACGCCAGGTGTACTACCGCATCTACCTACGGCTAGACACCCAAGGCTGACTTTGATGGACGCCCAAGGCGCTCCATCCATTGGCTTCGAGTGCTTGCACACAGGTGCTCACAATAGTACCATCATGTGAGTACTCAGCCAGCCTCTGCTGCAGGCCAGCCGCACACAGTTACCCTGCACAGCGATGTGCCCCTTTCTTTCGTGCCCGCTGCTGCGCTTACCTCCCTTTCGGCCACATCGGCTTAGTACCTAGTGCCCCCCCCCCCCCCCTCCTACACTTGTATGTGCGCAGCACCGCTAAGACTGACATTAAATACGGTGGCGGTGCCCCCTCCACCTAGGAACCGAAGAGCGGGCCCACTGCTGGCAACAAGAGCGAGCCTACAGCTGGCAAGAGGGACTTGTCGCTTGCAAGTTCAAGCCTTACTGTCTCACAAGGCTCACACTTGTTTGTATTTAAGCCAATGCCAATCCTGCTTGTTTTTTTCCCTGTCCTAGACGTTCATGTGAGCAATCTGCCCACACACGCGGACTAGTTGCACAGTGCGCGCGATAACCAGCTGATGCTCTCACGGCCGCAATACAGGCCCAGTTGACCCTGACAGTCCAGCCTGCGCAAGCCAGCCTTTGCTTCACAAGATCGCACATGGACGCAGCAGGTTGACCCTCTGATCATATTCTTGGTACTTTCTTGCTTTCTGTTGTTTGTTGCTACAAGCTGCTTCCACAACGAGCTCCAGGCTCCACATACATTCTGCTCACTGCAGTCAGCCAAGATGGCACCTACTATGGAGGAATGGATGTTGGATGGTTTTGGCGGTGGAGCAGGATGACTTTCGTGCAGGGTTGACCTGGCTCTGCATTATTTCTCCCAGCTGACAACGTACTGGCTACAGTGAGTTGCCATTTTGGCACGTCGGTAAGGGAATGACCTGTCATTCCCACTGTGGACTACTGACCACACACAGCCCAGTAAACTTCAAGCTTGCCCGACACGTTGGTGGCTCCTCACTCACACTTTCAGATTCCTTGTATATCTGACATTGTTTGCCTGCTAAGCACCAGCAGCCACATGCTTTTACTCTGCTCCTTTCTCCCATTGCTGCTGGTTCTTGTGCCACTATCTGGCGCAAGCTACGAAAAGTCGGTCGGGGGTATCGGAGATGGTGGTGAGAACTATGGGGGTGGCGGGTATACTTAGTTGTCATCGCACGCTCAGTGCCACTCCCTTGTAAGCCTGGCGTCGTTGCACTTGTCCTAATGCTACATACAGTGACGGCACGACCTATGAATAATACATATTTCTGTTTTACCTTGTTTACTTGCTAAGTCCGTGCCGTCCTACTGTATTAGCCTTCACGACAAATCTCACCATCGATCGCAAGGCTGCTTCATGGTTACCTCTATTTCCTGTTGTTCCCCTCCTACTCAGGCGAGTGTCGTCACACCTGGCGGGCGCCTACTCTCACTAATCTTATCGCCCCCTGCCCGTACTCTGTCATTATCCGCGGCGCCCACCAGTTGCCTTTTCTTGATCCGGGCCGTTTTTTCCTTTCACTGCAAGAGCGCAGCATGTGCACACAGAAGGTCTGGTCAACGCAAAAAGGAGGAAGAGGAGGAGAAGAAGGATGAGGAGGAGGAGGAGAAAAAGGAGGAGGAGGAGGAGGAGGACAAGGAGGAGGAGGAGGAGGAGGAGGAGGAGGATGAGATGATGATGGGGAGGAAGAGGAGGATGAAGAGGAGGAGGAGGGGGGGGGAGGGGAGGAGGGGAGGGGAGGGGGAGGAGGAGGGGGAGAGGGGGAGGGGAGGAGGAGGGGAGAGGGAGGAGGAGGAGGAGGAGGAGGAGGAGGAGGAGGAGGAGGAGGAGGAGGGCGAGGGGTGACAGAAGGGATGAAGGAATTCGTCGGTCGAAATTATCAAGCGTTCTCGTCGGTTCTCGCCAGCTTTCCAGCCTCAGGGTGCTCTCCAGCAGCTGCACCTCGCCGAGAGGCGTCCAGGGGTGCCCGGATCGTCCCGCACGGCCGCTGGAAGCCAGAGTTTTTGACCCGAAAGCCATGCGTTCAAGAGGGGAAATAAAGAGGGGGAGGAGAAGGGGGGGGCGAGGATCACTGGGGGTCCCTAGGATCTGAGCTGCCCGGGTACACAGCACGCAACCCGTAGCGTGTTGACAAGGAGCTCAACACGTAGATCGAAACCGTACGTTTGGCGCGACACGTTTGCCAAACCGTGGGCCAACACGCTGAGCCAACGCGCAGCGTGCTAACATGGAGCTTTTGAACACGGTACGTGTTGCGTTTCAAAACAGGCGTATCAGGGCAGCTAAGCTCAGGATTCCTGTATACCCTCATGATTCCACCGAATTCCTTAGGACTTTTTCTCGGTTTGTTCCTTGGTCGGTGTGATTTTCCTCGGTGCGCCGGTGTTTTCTCGATCAAGGAGAAGTCCAGGATGGAAGAGGAAGGGGAACGGATGTGGAGGAGAAAGGGAGAGGAGTGAGGATATGTTTTTTGTTGGGAGTTCTGCAGAGCACGACGTGCGGGATAGGAGGAAAAAGAGAGGGAAATGGCAATCGAGAACACACCATCAACGACCATGGTGCCTTCACCGCACGGCGCAAGCACCTTCGACCCTTCCGCCCCTCCTCCAGAAGGATGCCGAGGGGTGGGGAAAGGAGGCAAGAGGAGGGAGGGTATATGATGCTGATGTTGGTGCTGACATGACGATGATGATGATGATGATGATGATGATGATGATGATGATGATGGTGCTGATGATGGTGCTGATGATGGTACTGATGATAATGCTGCTGCCGATGATGATGAGGAAGATGAGGAGGATTAGGATGAGGATGAGGATGAGGAGGAGAAGGAATATTAGGATGATGAGGAGGATGATAACAATGAGGATGAGGAGGATGAGGAGTATGAGGATGAGAGGATGAGAAGAGGGAGGGAGGGAGGGCGGGATGGAGAGAGGGAGGGAGGTAGGATGAGGAGGAGGAGGACGATGAGGAGGTGGAGGAGAAGGAGGAGAGGAGGAGGAGGAAGAAGAGGAGGAGGAGGAAGAGAGTGAGCAGGAGGAGGAGGAGCAGGGACGCAGAAGGCAGGAGGACTCCCGAGGTCTACAAAGGCTGCAGTGGCCCATGAGGGACCGAAGGCGCCCAACTCTGTTACATCCTCGAACCTCGAGCCTTGAAACGACGACGTCTTCGTCGCCGTCGCTCTAAATTGGTCCCTGGACCTCCCTGCGGGTCGATCCTGGCAAGTTTTGATTTTTTTTCCTCCCAGAACTAATCTTAGCTACCCCGGAGCACGTGGCTGGCCCCGGGATGCGGGAATCGAGGGCAAAGCTATGCTGGCGATTTCCGTCGACTCTCGATCCTGGATCGTTGTGATGATCGTCGTGGTCGTCATGGTCGTAATGGTCGTGGTGGCGGTCGTCGTAGTCGTCGTCGTGGTGGTGGTGGTGGTCGCCGTCATCGTGGCCACCGTAGTCGTTGTCGTTGTCGTTGTCGTTGTCGTCGTCGTCGTCGTCGTCGTCGTCGTCGTTTTCGTCGTCGTCGTCGTCGTCGTCGTCGTCGTCGTCGTCGTCGTCTTCGTCGTCGTCGTGATCGTCGTCGTCATCGTGATCGTTGTCGCGGTCGTTGTCGTGGTGGTGGTCGTGGTGGTGGTCGTGGTGCTCGTGGTCATGGTCGTGGTTGTCGTGGTGTTCGTCGTGGTGGTGGTGGCGGTCGTCGTCGTCGTCGTCGTCGTCGTCGTCGTCGTCGTCGTCGTCGTCGTCGTGGTCGTCGTCGTCGTCGTGGTCGTCGTCAAGCGGCGGCCTCGGGCCATGCGGCACGCTCGACGGCCCCGCGGATCTGCTGGAAGCAGCCCGGCTCCTCGATCTGGGCGACCACGCGCGTGGAGGCGGCTCCTGGGCGACGGCCGCTCCCTCATCCTCGTCATCCTCCTGTTGCCCTCCCTCCTCCTCCTCCTCCTCCTCCTCCTCCTCCTCCTTTCTCTCCCGTTCTCCCTCCTCCTCCTTCTTCTCCTCCTCCTCTTCCTCCTCCCCGAGCTCTCCTCCTCCTCCGCCTCTCCCATCTTTCTCCCTCCCTCTTCCTCCGTCGTTTCTCCTTATACTTCACTCCTCCCTGCCGCGCCCCCAAGCGTGCCGTTTCGGCGGGCCAGACGTTTCGCCGGAGACTTCCGCACCTTTTATGATCCTGAGAATTGAAGCTCGCAGTAACTAGACGGATGGATGCTTGTGCTTTTCGGAGTGGGGCTCTCGCCTTAACGCCGCGCGCATTCGTCCTGACAAATTGCAGCAGCAGCAGCCGGCTGCAAGGATGGAGGGGGATGTGGGTTCCAAGCTGGGGTTTTCGCCGGGGCGCCGCGCGCATTCGGCTGAAACATTTGAAGCGGCTACACTGATGGACGAGCGCGGCTATTAAAATTTAGCTCTCGCCTGTTGGGGCAACTTTTGCGATGGGCCTCGCCTTATCACCGCACACATTGGCCTCAAGAGTTGGCAAAACCTACAAATGTGGAGGACGGTGCCTTTTCAAAGTGAGGCTCTTGCTGGGACTTTCTGGAATTTCCCAGCCAAGAACTTGAACACGTGTAGCAACTGCGCGAATGGCGGTTCGTTTTCGAAAAGGAGTTCTCGGGTGATGTCTCCTCGGAATTCATGACCTGGGATGTACGGATGTGTGCAACACTTGCATGGATCGGAGGCTGTCCTTTTCAAAACGGGGATGTCGCTGGACACTTCGTTGAGCTTAATGGCACTTCTTTTCGTATTCCTGGTTGTACGCTCGAGGACAGACAAGCAATTGCTTTTCAAAATGAAGTTCTCGTCTGAACGGCAGGCCCGTGTAATGCTGACCTTTCAAGGTGGCCCGTCTTGCAGTGAAGCGGATGGCTCGTAGGGACTTGTGCAGAAGGACTTGGGGCACGAGGATCTCTTGCGTCATCGCCGAATAATTCTGGATCATTCTGGTCCTCCTCCTCCTCCTCCTCATGCTGCTCCTTCACCTCCCCACCCGTCCAAGAAGACGGGGGACAACGGAGGCAGGGGCTCCGCGGCCCGCGATGGGGACAGGGCGAGGAGGGGGGGCGAGGAGGAAGAGTAGGGCTGGATGAATCACTTTGCCATAAGGTAAGGCTGGCGCTGGGAGGCGCATTGAAGCGACGAGACCAGCTCGCAAGCGGATGGCGTAGACGACCCACGAATGGGTGCCGGGCCACGTGTTGCGCCAACTTCGCTTGTCGTCGCTGACCCCCAGCACCTATGTTGAGGAGGGGGGGGCCCAAACTCGCACTGGACCCGTCCGCCGCGGCGGCCCACGGGGGCGACGGCGGGCCCTCAAGTGCTAACATCGACGGTGGCGCCGTCCGCATCATCGACGTGCGAGGGCTCGCCGTCCGACGCGCAGGCCGCCAAGAAACCAATGAGGCGAGGGCGAGATGAACGCGGACAGCGTGTCACGAAATCTTGGGCGCGCGCAACTCCCTCATGTGAGGCGGCAGACGACGTCCCGATCCGCTGCCCGCCTTCTCCGCGCGCCTGCACCGCCACATCATCGCGGTGGGAGCGGCGCGGCCGAGCAGGAAGCATTGCTCTCGTTGGCCATGCCTCGGCCCGACGACCACGCCCCCGGTGCCCTCTGGGCAAACCGGTGCACATGTTCCAGCGTTTCGACAGTGGGCTGGTGTGCAGAAGCGTCCTCATCAGGACTGGCCGCTGCCCTTGCAGCACCAGATGTTTCCACTGGGGCCGGCCGGCGCTGTCAAGAAAGACACCCCTTGAGGGTTGGCACTGGAGGAGGGGGAGCAGGAGGAGGAGCAGGAGCAGGAGCAGGAGGAGGAGGAGGAGGAGGAGGAGGAGGAGGAGGAGGAGGAGGAGGAGGAGGAGGAGGAGGAGGAGGAGGGGGAAGGGGAGGAGGGCCTTACCTCCGTGCTGCCACGCGGAGACGAAAACGACAGCTGTCGCCCCCTGCGGATGGGAGGATCAGTGCCAGCTCGGCGGCCTCGCGCTGCCTTGCGGGCTCGCGCAGCCTCTGCGACGGGCCGCCGCCGTTCGGCCCCGGAAGGCACGCGCTGCGGCCCCCCATGCCCCGCCGCTTCAAGATGTTGCGCAGCGCAAGTGCAACAATCTTTTAGCTGTCCGAGACCGCTCCGCGCAATTTTCTCCTCCTCCTCCTCCTTTGCTCCTCGCGCCCCCTCCTCCTCCTTCCTCCTCCTCCTCCTCCTCTGCTTCCTCCTCGCCATCTTCGTCCTTCTCTTCCTTCTCTGCTTCCTGCTTTTCCTCCTCTCCTTCCTCATCCCCTCTTCATCCTCGTCGTCCTCGTCCCACCTCCTGCTGCTCCTCCTCCTCCTCCTCCTCCTCGTCCTGGTGATTCTTGATTTATGATGGCGTGGGGAATCGTCGACTGCGGCCCTCTCCGGGGCAGGTCGGTCCTCGGGGGTTGATCAAACTCAACAGCCTGGTCACGACAATGATTAGCTGTGGCACGTATATGTACAGTAAGAACAAGGATGACAGACAGAAGGAGGGTGGACGGAAACTACATCAGAACCGTGATCGTAACCTCGAAGGAGGGAGGACGGAGACAGGGAACTGATGCGTCGGTTGTGGCGGTGTGGAAGCAACAAACGCGTGCAGCAGAGGCGTAACAATTGCTTGGGCCCCTGGGGCCCTGTACTGGGTCCCCTCCTTTACGGGTCAGCTGGCCCTGTTGGGCCAACGCCCGAAGGGGCGCCCTGGGCCCCCCTTCTGCGGAGGTGCCCAACTTGGAGGCAGAGGATGAAGGAGGCGCCAGGTGGCAGTCAGCGCGGTTGAGATAGGGAAACAAAGGCGATTGGGTTGGTGGTGAGAAGGTGGCGGCCGCTGGCTGGCTGAAGATGTTGGAAAGGGGTGGCAGAGCTGAGGCTGGAAGAGAGATGTGGCAGCTGCAGCGTCGGCGATGGGTGGGGAAAGTGCGAGGCCGCGGGCCGGCTTGGGAAGTGGTGGCCGAGGCTGTGGCTAAAAGTGGCAGCAGGAGTGGGCGGTGGCGCGCCCCGCCTGCGCGCGCCCAGGTGGACGGCGCAAGAGCCTCTCTCCACAGGCGCCCCCGAGGCCAACGGCGGGATCCCTCGCCTGCGAGCAAGCGTAGGTTTTTCAGCACGTTGGCCTGGGGGCCGCTCCACCGGGCGTGATGGACGTTGGCGCCTTCCTGGCGATGGCAGGGTTCCACGCTCGCGCGGCGTAGGTGGCCGGCCTACTCGCGCCAAGTTGGCAAGCCCCAGAGGCCACTGCCCCTGCGCATAAGACATCCCCCGAAGCGGCGTCCATCCCCGCGACTGGCACCCTTCCCTGACAATCATCAGTAGGGTTCCCAGATCGTGGAGGTGGGGGCCGCCTGGGGGATTTCCACCGTGCGCGGGGGAGGCTTGTGCCCTCCGTGGCGGTGGCTGGCTTTGTTGGAGCGTGGCCGCCCCCCTGTGATGCTACCCGAACCCCCCATGAGTGATGTGCGGGCGATCGGAGACCGCAACTGCTTCTCGCGCGTGGCTAGACAGGAAATGCGGTGAAGGGAAGGTGGCATTCAGATGTTGCGTGCGTGGAAAGAGGATGCTCCACGTGGAGACTTGGCTGCTGCTTGCAGGCTGCGGCCGCGGCCGCCCAGGCCCTTGCTGGGGCGACGCGCGGCGAGACCCTGCCCGCTCCCTTCCCGAGACATCTTGCCTCACCCCCCCGCCGCAAGAGGGGGCGCGGCGAGGTTGGCGACTTGAAGCGGGGGGGGGGCTGCGAGAAGGAAGCCGAGGGGGAGTGGAGGTTGGAGGTTGGTGGGATCTTCGTTTCAGCGGACACGTCGGGTGAACTGGCATGGCTCGTGGGTGAGAATGCCCTGCGAGGGCCCGGTGCGTAGCGTGGCTGATCTTTGCGTCGGCGTCGTCGCCGTGAGCCGAGGTCCGCGGGCGCCCAGTTTCGCTGCCGCCGGAGATGTGTCTGGAGATTGGATGGCCAGCTGTGCTGCTGCCCATCCTGTCGGCGAGTGCGCGCGGTTGGGTCAAAGTGTAGCGCCGAGGTTGAGCGTGGGAATGTAGCAGCTGGCGTGCAGCCTCCTGTCTGTCGCGGAGCAAACTCAAGCAAAACTGCGCGCGGTGAGGTGGGGGGTTGGGCGCCCTGACGGGCCAGTATGGCTGGTCCCATCTGGAGGCGTGGGCCGCGTGGTTGTGGGCAATCGGGAGAGGGTCTCATGATTTGCCGTGGCTTGGTCGTGCTGTTGGTGCTTAGGGTACTACCTGTACTCGACCTCGAACGGTGGCCATCGCCCTGGGCCACCATCTGTTGTGGTCCCTTCGACTATGCCGTCGTTGTGGGCCTGCTTGCTGTCGCGCCGTTCGGTTGGTTTGGTTGGAGTCGCGTTGATGGCTGGCTTGCACTGTAGGGCGTGGCAGCACCCTGATAGTTCTCCCCCTTGGGGCTCTCAGTCGGCTCAGTTTGGCTGCTGGCGTCGGTCATCTTTCGTTGTGCCTCTGGCGGTGGGTCCGTATGCTGATGCATGTTGGTCTCCGCTGTCGCATTTGGTGCTGGTTGCTGGGTCAAACGCTGTTGCTGCCGCGCTGCGAAGTCTGCTTGGGAGGCTGCCCACCTGTTGGCGCTTTGGAGCTCGATGCTTTGGTTCGGACCCTCGTGCCGCATTGGTTGCCCTGTGCGGGTGGGCCAGCTTGTTGCTGTGCGGTTTGGGTGTCGGCTTGCCAGTCGGTCGTTGAGTCGGAATTGGGGTGTGTAAGGTTGTGGTGCGCTTGCGGCTGGATTGCGCTTCGTTGCTCTCTGTTCCCGTCGTCTGCTGGGAAATTGGGTCGTTGGTCTTGTACGGTGGTCAGCTCGGATATCTGTTGCAATGCTGCGGTCGCGATTATGCTCTGGAACCGCGTGATGGGGAATGGCGTCGGCATGGAAGTCGGCTTGTAGCGTGCGGCCATCTTTATGGACATGAACATGCTCCGCTGCTGCGCAGCCGCGGCACGTGGTCTGTAGGTCTCCCGAGTCGTCTTCGATCGTGTAGGTCAGCATTACTGCTAGCTGGTGGTTGGCAAACTGGGCGAGGAAGGTCTGGCGCTCGGTCAGGCGGAAGTGCCGTGCTTCTCGTGGTCCGTCGTTCGGGAACCTACAGTTCAACGTTGCCTCTACGTAGCTCATGACGTGGTCGCACTCGACACATGTCAGGGTCTGCCCCGAAGTTCAAGTCGTAGCGGTTGCTAGCGTGGCTCATGCTCACGAAGTCTTATGAGATATCTTGTGCGTTTTGATATGGAAATTCATGGGCTCGTAGCCATGTGGGATCATGCTGCTGTTGTTGGTGAAGCGCTCGATCAGGTCCCGGTGTCACTCGCTTTGGTTATTCCCAGATCTCATGTCTGCTGGCGGGTGTCCCGTTGGAGGGCTAGCCATCTTGAGCGCAATGCCCAGGTCGTGCATGATGCTGGCTTTGACTTTGACTCCCAGTGGCGTGGTCGGTGCTGTCGTCGGAGTGCTGGTGGTGCTGTGTGTAGTTGCCGCTCTGATGTTTGTAGGTGGAATCCTTGGTGGTAGCTTTGATGGCGCCCCTTGGTAGGGGATCTGCTGCACAGTCGGCCTGTCCATCGCATGTCCTCCTCCTTGGTCATTGTTGTGCAGCTGCTTGGAATAAAGCTGGGATGTGGCACAGGGTGCCTCGTATTGCTGCTCCCTCGTGGGAGCCGGTGTGTTGCTGCTGTCGCTGGGTGTCGGTGGTGTTGCTATCGGCTCGGGGGCATGTAAGTCCTATCGCGCCGCAAGTGCTTGGCTGCCCCGTCGCTGCCGCTTGCTGCCCCCTGTTGGTTGGGCGCAGGTAGCTGTGACGCTGGGTGGTTCGTTCTCTGGAAGAGGTGGTCGTTTGGTCGGTGTGTTGGCCCCTGCTGTTGTTGTGCGGCCTGGATCTCGCCGATGATCCGTATGGCGCCCTCTTGCGTGGTGAGGTTGTCGTGCTGGTTCTTGAACAGTAAAGTCAGCGGGCGCCTTTGAGAGTTGTCTGAAAAGCCGAGCTCTGCGACGTCGTTGGTGGGAAAACTGATGTTGTTCTTGAGGTTGTCCACGTCGTGCTTCATTGTAGCGTAGATCTTCCTGGTGGGCATGCGTTGTTGATGGTGTTGGCGATGTGATCGTTGTAGTTCTGGGTGTCCTCCATCTTATAGTTCTGCTTCTCACTGACAGGTTGGTGCTTTGTCTTGCCCTTGCCGTTGTTGGTGCCTCTCCTTGCCTTTCGGGGTCCAGTTGTCGAGCTCGTTGTTGTCCTTTGCGGTCTTTCCTTTTTCGCTGTAGTTGTTGTCCTTGCCGCTGTGGCTGTGGCTCCAGCTTTCATGTGGTGCTCCTTGGCCCGCTGGTTCGTCCAGTTGTGGTTCTTCAAGCGTGCGAGGCCCGCTCCAAGTGCGGTGGGTCTCGGCGTAGTTGGCCTGCTTCGTGGGCGGCTCAATGTTGTCCTCCACGGTGGCAATGCCGTTCCCGATCCGCTCGCAGTTGCGCTCCGTGACGTCGCCATGGTTGGAACTTGAGGTGGATGTCGTGGTGGCTGCTGGGCGCTGGGATGCCCTTGGCGTAGTTCTTGTGCAATGTGAAGTTGGTGCTCCGTATTTTGATCAGAAGTGTACGTGCTGATGCCACTCGGAGTAATGATAGTAATCGTAGTAGTCATCGATGAAGTAGTCGTAGTAGAAGTAGTAGTAGTAGTAGTAGTAGTAGTAGTAGTAGTAGTAGTAGTAGTAGTAGTAGTAAGTAGTAGTAGTAGTAGTAGTAGTAGTATAGTAGTAGTAGTAGTAGTAGTAGTAGTAGTAGTAGTAGTAGTAGTAGTAGTAGTAGTAGTAGTAGTAGTAGTAGTAGTAGTGGTAGTATTAGAAGTAGTAGTAGCAGTAGCAGTAGCAGTAGTAGTTGTCGTAGTAGTCGTAGTAGTCGTAGTAGTCGTAGTAGTAGTAGTAGTAGTAGTAGTAGTAGTAGTAGTAGTAG